GGGGGTGCTAAAGCCCCTATGTGCTTATAGAGGGGGGTGTGCCAGCCCTATAGTTTATGGGGTGTCCGTGCAGACCCTATAGCAGGGAGGGGGCTGTATAGACCCTGAGGCAGTGTAGAGCAGTTGTGGAGACCCTATAGCACTGAGGGGGCTGTATAGACCCTATGGCAGCCAGGTGAGGGGGGTCTCTAGACCCTATAGCTCCTGGGGGGGAGGCTGCGTAGACCCTGTAGGCATGAGACAGCAGGTTGTATGGATCCTATAGTGCCCAGGACAAGGGTATATAGATGCTATAGTACCCAGGACAAGGCTGTGTGGACCCTATAGTGCCTGGGATGAGACTGTACAGATCCTATAGGGCCCGGGACAAGGCTGTACAGACCCTATAGTGCCTGGGATGAGACTGTACAGACCCTATAGAGCCCCAGGCGAGGCTGTACAGACCCTATAGCACCTGGGGCGAGGCTGTACAGACCCTATAGTGCCTGGGGCGAGGCTGTACAGACCCTATAGGGCACAGGGCGAGGCTGTACAGACCCTATAGGGCACAGGGTGAGGCTGTACAGACCCTATAGGGCCCCGGGCGAGGCTGTACGGGCCCTTTGCTGACTCATAGGCACCACCGCTGCTGGGGAAACTGGTCTCTTAATGGAGCGCTGTATGGAGCCTATAGGGGCTGGGGGTGCATAGCGGTGCTGTGTAGCCCCTATAGCAACCAGGGGGGTAGGGGGAGTGGAGGGGAGGGACTAGCTGCTTGGGGAGCCCTATAGATGCCATAGGGACTGCAGAGGCATGCGGGGTGCCCCACTGCGCCCAGAGAGCGGGTGGGGTGGTGGGGTGCCCTGCGGGGATCAAGGGGCCGTGCTGGCTTGCAAGGGGGTCCTATAGCCCCTATAGCATCCAGGCAACCTACTGGGGTCTGTGGGTGCTCTGGAGACCCTATAGGATCCACAGGACGTGGTGGGCTCTGGGGCTGCCCTATAGGGTACAAGGGGGTGTGCTGGCTGGCGAGGGGGTGCTGTAGACCCTATAGCATCTGGGGTACATGTTGGGGTCTAGGGGTGCCCCATCGACCTTATAGCACCTGGGAGGCGTGTTGGGGTCCAGGGGTGCCCTATAGAGATCTCAGGGGCATGTTGGGGTCTAGGGGCACCCTATAGGGATCTGGGGAGCGTGTTGGGGTCTAGGGGTGCCCTATGGGGATGTAGGGAGCATGTTGGGGTCTAGGGGTGCCCTATAGGGGTATAGGGAGTGTGTTGGGGTCTAGGGGTGCCCTGTAGGGATCTGGGGAGCATGTTGGGTCTAGGGGTGCCCTATGGGGATGTAGGGAGCGTGTTGGGGTCTAGGGGTGCCCTATGGGGATGTGGGGAGCGTGTTGGGGTCTAGGGG